TGAAATTGTATTTTATGAATGTTGTTTTTGATGAACTTCTAAAAATTCACCAAAATATTAGGGTTTGTGTTTCTCTCTCTAGAATATGCTATGAATAAAGAGAGATAAAGTTTTGGTCCTCAAAATATATATTATAAAAGTTCTAAAAAGTCCTTGGTAAAAGTACAAGAAATGACTTATATAGAAGTACAAAAAATATGTCATGTTCGCCTTGCGAACACCTTCTTCGCACTGCGAAGACCATGTTTAGGCACTTCAAGTTCCTCAGGAACAGTTAAACCGCTCTTGGAAATATCTAAGTTCGCAATGCGAACCTCTTCGCTACAGCTTCGCCCAGCGAACTTAGGGTCCTTTTCCTACTGCTTCTAATCTGGGATGGTTCGCTGGGGCTTCTCCAGGAGCTTGCACAATGAATATTCGCTTTCATCTTGTCGGTGCTCGCACAACAAACATGCTGATTCTTCTTTATTTTTTTGACTTCTTTGTCCAATCCTTTGTGTCTTAATCATTGATATTTTATGCCTAAATCCTACACAATAACAAACACATCAAGGAATCCAAAGGTATTTGCAATATAATTGAAGAATCACACAAGAACAAGAAATAAATTCATTAAAACATGAGAAATGAGTTAAAAAATGCCAAGAAAGATGGTTCAATTTAAGTCAAAATTTGCACTTAACAATGTTTCAAGGTTAGGTCGAGAATCAACCTGCTCTGACAACTGTAACAATCTGTATACAGTAATTATTGATACTGTCACAATATAAGAGCCTAATGACATAATTATATACATATTTCCAACTAAATACATCTATGGCACATGTTATACAATAAGGCCTAAAAATAAAATTTAAGAACCATGAACAATATGCAACAGAAAATCACAATAATCAACAACCCTCGGAACATCAATGCACAACTCCTCTTGCATATAACCTACAAACAATACCTAAAAAGTAACAACAATATTGGGATGAGTTAATAATCTCAGCGAGCTTTCCTACCCTACGGGTTCACTTGGATCTACAAGGTTCTAATCAAATCCTAACTTAAATCCAAAGGGGGAAGACTTGAGTTCACAAAACTCGCAATGTATGAAAACATGCCTCTTGAATTCATTAACTCAAACAATCATTAATCAGAAACCAAATCAAGGTATCTTTCTCTGACAAGCCTTACGTCTAGGGTTATCGACTTGGGTCACAGATCCTTGTATCATAAGTATCTTTCCCCGGCAAGCCTTTTGCTTAGGGTTATCAACACGGGTCACAGATACTTATATCAAAGATATCTTTCCCCGGAAAGCCCTATGCCTAGGGTTATCGACACATGTCACATATACTTATATCATAGGTATCTTTCCCCGACAAGCCATATTCCTAAGGTTATTGACACGGGTCACAAATACCTATCTCATACTTTGATATACACATGGATTTCAGATTCTAAGGGATAACATCCACCTTAAGAATCGTCGCTTCCTATGGAACTCTAAACTCATTTCAAGCTTTTTACCCGTATGGGTCTCTAACCCACTTTGGAATCCACCTCCTTTGTTATTCAAACCCAAGTCATTAAAGTATGAATGTGTACATCCCAAATCTTACTTTATATATGCATCACAACTTGGAACATAATAATTAAGGGGTTGTTTTTTACTACGTCATTAAATAGAAATACAACGTGATTGTATTTGACAACCACAAGGTGATCAAATTCACCTGAATCACATAATGACACAACATGTTTCATACAAAGCATATTATTTCATGACTAAACTATAATTCTAGCAACTAATTTTCTGCGACACACACCAAGGTACCCTTGCGTCCAAGCATCGCCATCTAAGCCAATTTCCATAACTTATTATCTTACTAGTTCATTCACCTAGTTATGCTTCTAGGTTTCCTTACTCATCTTTATAAAATTTTAATCATGTTATTACAAAAATCATACAACAACAATTCACAGCATAAAGCATGCATGAAGATATAATTCATAACATACATAAGGCACACATGGTAACATAACATAATACAAATCATCGACAAGGTTATCACACAACTCGCCTTATTCTATCTTATTCCAATTTTAAGTCTCACAACAACATTTGTCTGATCATCCTATGGTGGGGGTTCCCCGGACTTAAAGGGAATGATTCATTGGAATAAGTCATATAGACATCTCTCTATATCATAGTTTTCTACATTATCTTCCTAACACATTCGTTCTTGTAACAATCGAAGCTATCATTTCCGTTTTATTGTGGAAACAGGGAAATAAAGTATTTACATTCACTTCAAATTTTATTATATCATACATGATAGTTTATCAATACTATCCTATTAATAATTTGCATAAAACCATGTTTCTACTTCAATATCAAATAGAGTATTGGAAGACCTTTCCAACACATTCGACCATACGTTAATCGGAATTACAATTCTCGAGTTATGCTTAAAAAAAAGAATCAATTATTTTTCTGCGTGCTGCCATGCTCGCCCGGCGAGCAGGGGGCGAGCTCTGGCGAGACAAGTTAGTGGAAAAAAGCTTTGTGCTCACCCGGCGAAGACCCATCTAGACCAGCTTTCCTGGGGCTCGCCCGACGAAGCAGACAAAACCCAGAAAGTGCAGAAACATGATTGGATGCTAAAAATGGACATACACATCAACACATATGATCAAATTATATCCAATAACGCAAATTAACATGGTTTACCATAAATAGGCATGCAAAACATCATGGCTTCAAGAATCAAGAACATCAACAATAGAGAAACAAGAACAATAACAATAACAATTTCATGGTTCAATACACAAAACCCTAACCCAATATTTTCATGCTTTTTCCCCAGAGCTAAACTATCTTTGGAGCTCACCTTGAAGAAGAAGATGAAATTGAGATGAAGTTGTTGATGATGATAAGGTGGAGATGATGAAAATCCATAGTTTTCTCTTCTTCTTCCTTTCTTTTTCCTCTTTCTTTCTTTCTCCTATTCTCCACTTTTCTCTTCTTTCCTCCTTTCAGATAACTCTCTCTTTCTTTTCTTATCCATTTCTTCTTTTCCTTTATTCTTATCTTCTCTTTTTCACCACATAAATATATACATACTATATAATATATAATATATAATATTAGGTACTATATAATATATAATATATAATATTAGGTAGTAATACAAAATACATCTATTGATATTTTGTCTTCTAGTACTAATTGACCAATTATTAATGTTATCAAAATATCTTTTCTTATATTTATGAATAATGGTCGGTCTCTTTTAATAAGAATTGGTCTCTTCAGAGTTCATTGGTATTGGTCTCACTGACAACACTTACAACACATAGGAGCTTTAATTGTTTCAACTGACCAATGATAGAGTACATAAGAACTCAGTTGGTCTCAACTGATAACCAAATAAACATTTAAAAATATGAGATATTACTGAGAAGATCAACCAAATAAAAAATAAAAAATAACCGAACAAAATTAAACCAAAATCAAACCAAATCAAATCAAATTGAACTACATAAACAAAATCGAACCAAATTAAATTACAATCTAATTCAATTCAAAACAAATGAAACTATACCAAAAGGAACAAAACTAAATAAAATAAAATCAAACATAATAAATCCAAATTGAACAAAATCAAACTAACTAAACAAATCTTAAGAAATTGAATCAAATTAAATTAAACTAAACATAATTCAAACAAACACAGAAAGGAACCAAACAAGATCAAACGAGACGGAGCCAAACAAACAAGAAATTCAAACAAAAAATATGGTGTGTCATGTGTGTTTAGGATGGTTTTAGGTGCAGGTTTTTGTTTCATCTGGATGAACATGGTGTGTAATTTGTGCTTAGGTTGTGTTTTCCTACAGCTCTGTGCTTCCTTGTGTAACCATGCTTTTAGGTAATAATAATGTTGTAAAGCTTCTCTTCTAGTGTTTTGTTTCCCTTGGAGCAGGGGTGGTTTCTTTTTTGTAGACTTGTTTTTACATTGGCGTAACTTATGCCTCTTCAAACAAAGAAAAAACAATAGTATTCTTTTTTTTAATAAGGGTCTAAGCTCGAACCAGAGAAAAACCTACAAACACATCAATTTAAGGGAAGTTATCCCTTTAATATCATCTAAGAAGCTCCTATAAAGTTCAGCGTAACATCAAAGAACTAAAAACGAAATCTAGATTGCAACCTACATTAACTAGGGCATTAGCACATTTGTTTGCTTCTCTAAACGAATGCATCATCTTCACCTCCATATGGCACTCAAACAACCGACGAATCTGCTTAATCAAAGACATTTCTTCTATGCTACTCGATGATTCACTTGTCTAGAGCTTGTACAATAGTATTCTCTCACGGTATGAAAACACAAGCTAAATTTTAATCCTCTTTTTTTCATTTAATTCGTAGGCCCCACTCTCAAGATAATCAAATTCATTGCATCTCATCATTTTCAAAGCTAAACTTCAATCCTTGCTCACGTTAACATCTAAAACAGAACACCTTGTCCGTAAATACTAACTCAATTGGTAAAAAAACCGATATTATTAGTTTGAACGCCAACACTAAGGTTCGAATGCTGAATCTCACAACTGTGTCTGTAAGTTTATAGTAATTAGTCTACCTATAAAAAAAACATAACACCTTAAAATACCAAGATTTGGTAGGAAATAATAAATCATTCATTCATATGATAGATTCTGTTATAAAAGAATAAACCATTCATTCCAGCATTACTCAATACGCACTGACATAACTATCCTCACACACCTCTGTTGAAACGGTGATACATATGGGCATGTCTATCACGCTAAATAATTTATTTTCACGAACTTTGAAATAATGTTGAATATATGGAAGCAAAATACTAAGCATGATAACCTAAACAAGAATCTTATCTGTACCAGACTCTAGAGTCACCAAAAACACAAACAATATTCAGCATAATTTGAGAGTTCGCATCACCAATATATCATCAAGGACTCTAGTTCTTCACAGTTGTAACATACTTGAGAAGCAGGGAAACAACATCTCCTGAAATTCTAGCAGCCTCAGTCTTCAGCTCATGGATTTTCTTATCAGTCTCTTGCTCAAGTCGTTTGACATTAGCACCAGAATCTCCACTGCTCTGTATTCATTGAAAGAAAGCACACAAACTTATAAAGTGATAGAAACGAAGTCTAACGGAAACATTTTCCATTTATTACTGGAGTCAATCATCAACATACCGCTGATAATTTCTGTTGAAACTGGTTTTCCAAAAGAGTTCGCTGTTCAGCAATCTCCCTTTCAGCTTCTTCTTTGGCTTGTTTCAGCCTAGCATATTTTTCTAACAGTAGAGATGCAGAATACTCATTAGTGTACAAATAGAGGGATTCAACACAACCAATATAATTGCAACAAAGAAAAAGTAAAAGAAAAAAGAAGAGAAGGGAAACTGGTTTATATCGTAGCAATATCTCATAATTTGTTCTGTGGCATATATGAGGACACATGAAATTTCCATACTCATGATAAATGAAAAAAAAAAACTTTTGGCATACGCATGAAAAGGCTCATGAAAAATTAACTTTTGGCATACACAAGAAACTTACATACTCATGAAAAAATCAACTCAAGAAGGAGAAAGAGATGGAAATTCACTTTACATAAAATGGCATGGTAAGATTTTTAGTAAAAAAAATAACTTTTGGCATATATAATCAAGATTATACAAAAATAGCATGCAAATAGATAACAAGCAGCGCTGCTACCCCTTTTTGGATGGCAAAATCAATCTTCTTAAAAACCATATTCTGTTAGAAATTTAGTATGATAATCCTGGATTTTTTTCGAGGAATCGTGTTCGTACACTTTCCGAACAAAGTATTTCGACCTTATTATTTGTCTGGGTTCACGAAATCTTTGTGGGGATAATTCTTGAAGAACAATCTGCTTCTGGCAATAGAGAACAGATCAGGAATGTAGAGAGAAAGTATGGTTTTCGTTATTCTGTCCGTTAAAATTGAGGCCAAAAGACTCCTTATATAGGAGATTAATAACAGAAACTGAAAAGACAAACTGTTCGAAAATTTCGAACGGGTTCAACTGTTCAGAAAATTTTCGAACGGGTTCAACTGTTTAGAAAACTTTCAGAAAATTTTTGCTCGGGGCGCTGCCCTTTGGAACCCCAGCCAGGGGCTCTGCCCCTTGGAATCCCACGGGGAGCTGTCCCGCACCCCGCCAGGGGCTTCGCCCCTTGGAACCCCTTTTCAATTATTCGCATTCAGTTGCACGTTGGCTCGACGAGCGTGCACTCCGCACTACCCTAACTCGTTTCCAAGCTTAACGCATAATTGCATCGGCCTACAATAAATCACATTACTACTAAAATACATTGATGATACTAAAATCACCAACATATTCGTTGTCCTAGGTGACACAACATTGGCTACAAAATGCAGAAATAATAAATGAAGATTGGCTACAATACCGTTTTTCGCAGCATTCACAATCGCCTGTGCCTCATGTTCAGCGGCCAACAACTGTTGAATTCCACCTTGACCACCGTTGGATGCCATTCTGTGATAAATTAAGTTTGTAATTATTAACAGTAAAAAAATATAACTACCAGAAAGTAAACATAAATCTCCTTCACCGTCAGCACTAGAGATGAAATCTTTTGCAAACAAACCACCATGGATTTCAATTCAAAATAACAAGATAGGAATGCCAATACGATAGAGTCAAAAAATTAGACAAATAATCCCTTGGGAAATTTTCCTCTTTTACATCCAAAAAGAGGTAGAAGAAAATTATAACCCGGATTTTGCAGGATTGCATGGTCTGGAATTTGCAGAAATGCAACAACACATTCTAGACAAATAATTCTCAGGTGTATCTACGCATGAAGCACGGACACTAGAAACACAATGCTGACACGTCGACATAGTTAATAATTTAAAAAAAAATGAATAAATTAAATATAATCACAAATGTTGGTGTTGATTTAGGACATAAACATTGACACGGACGCACATTTTTTCAGAAGTGTCGGTGCTACCAAGGTATCTATCCATTTCCTAATGTGCTCCTTTAGTGGAGTGATTAAGTTTCAATAATATTCCACACAAATCACCAATATAATCAAGAAACAGTACGCGTCAAATAATTTGGTATTGAAATTAACTAAATTTCAAAATTAGCTATGAAATTGATAATCTTCAATCACATTAGTCCTTTGGATCGGTCAATTTAGTTCTGAAACTGTTCCCGATGAACTAAAGCGATCAAATATTTCTCAATTCCATGAATATTCTGTAATAATTTCATCAATTCAATTACTAGATTGTCTAACCTACACTGTAATACCGATTTTGATAGAATCCTTCAATCAGATCCATTCACAGATGAAAAAATTACTCATAATACAAATTTTAATAGAATCAAAATGGAGATTAACAATAACAACACTGTTAAAATACTCTGTATTACAATTACTCATAGTTGATTTCAAAAATTCAAACAGATCAGCAGTAGAATATTCTATGGATGAAAATACGATACAAATACAATCGATCAGATGCAGATGAGAATTTAATCACCAATTATGCAATAAACGTAGTGGAGAAACCAAAAGGAATGCAAGTTGAGGTAAGTTAAAGCGCGAAGCAAATTCGAAAACGGTTGCGTTGCAGATCTGAAGATATGAACAAGAAAGAGAGAGAAGCATACCTAGAGTGTTGAATTCTCAGACGGAACCAGAGAAAGAGTGTGCGAGCGAGAGAGAATTCGAAGATTTGTGCAATTTTTTTTCCAATAATAAAAGATTTATATAATTTTATATACACTAGACTATTTATATATAAAAGATTAATCCTTATTATATAAAATGGAACAATCTATGCAGCTCCTATGAAACCCTAATTCCCTCTCTTTTCTCTCCTTTATGCTCCAACTATAATTTTAGTTATTAATTATTTATTTATATTTTAAATTTATTATTGATTTGCTGACATAGAGATTAGTATGAATCATTTAAAAGATTTTCACTAACTTCTCACATGTACATTACATTTTTTGTAAATCTAAAAAGTTACTTTAGGTATACATCCAATACATAATAATTATTATTAGTTTTGAGTCTCTCAATTAATAAATGCACAACCTCACATATCCATTATTCTTCATAAGCTATTATTATAAATAGTGGTTTCTATCAAACAAATACTCCTACATCACAAGTTTAAAAATAATACTCAAGTTATGGTTGATATACTTAGTTGAGTTCAAAGATGTCTACAAAAGGTATCAAAAGTATTTTCGTTTGATGCTAATCCGTTTATATATTTTTAGTTCATATATTTTTACTAATTGATTATTTCTTATAAAAAATGTTATGGTATATAAGTTGTTTTTTAATTTTTAATTTTTTTTATCACATTCAAATGATTTTACAATTTGTGTACTATATCATTTTTATGGTTATTAAATTATATATGTAAGAGGCAATTGAAGGTGGTGATTCAAACAAAGAGGAATTGACTACTGCAGGTTCTGGAAATACACCTACAAACAAGACTTTGGAGAAGAGGTTGTTTGATAGTCCTGAATCAATTGCTATGAATGATATCAATGGTGGTGCTTCATCGGTTGTCAAAGATTTTAAATGTGTAAAGCTTGAAAAATCTGATTGAGTGGTCTGCCTGTTGAAGAATATTTGTTGTGTCTTGCAGTTATTTTCTTTTTAATCTATCAATTGTTGAACCAAGTTAATGCCAAATATGACATTTGTTTTAATGTTTTGATTTGTTTTACGAATATGAGAACTATATTTGTGATAAACTTATATGTTTAAATAGAAATATGGTTGGACCCGTAAAAAAACACACATATAAAAACACATATTGGACACACAAATATTCTGAATATTAAAAGATAAAATGATTAGATAATATTAATTGATATCACTAAATTGATAAAGTAATATCTATTTTATTTGAGTTTTCCTATCTAAAACTTACTCTCTGTGAGAATTTTTTTTTATTTTTTGTCCCTACTTATAAGAGAAAAATCTAAATATTTAAGATTTTTAATATAATAAATAATATTATAATATAATATCTATAATTTTAATTAGTTAAAGATTAAACTTAACTTTAAAGTATTATTACTAAAAAAACATAAAATAATTTATTTTAAACCTTATACTTATTTAATAAAAGTATTTAGCTTTATATATTATTATTACTAAAAAAACAAAATAATTTATTTTAAACCTTATACTTATTTAATAAAAGTATTTAGTTTTATATACTTATTTAATAAAAGTATTTTGCTTTGATTTGGGTTTTCCTACATAAATAAAGTATTAAATTATATCAATACTTGCACGTTTGTGCTACATTTCAAAATTATTAAAAATATAAACATAATAAATTATTAATAAATAATAATCACTATTAAAACAAATAAAAGTGATGAAAAAACAATCATTTAATGCATTAAATAGGCCTATGGTTACACCCAATGCAAAGTTTTATATAATAAAGATAAAGATTTTCACTAACTTCTTACATATACAATACATTCTTTGTAAATCTAAAAAGTTACTTTAGATATATATCCAATGCATAATGGTTATCATTAGTCTTGAGCCTCTCAATTAATAAATGCACAACCTCACATATTGGACACACAAATATTCTAAATGTTAAAAGATAAAATAATTAAATAATATTAATTGATATGACTAAATTGATAAAGTAATATCTATTTTATTTGGATTTTCCTATCTAAAACTTACTCCCTGTAAGCTCCTATGAAACCCTAATTCCCTCTCTTTTCCCTCCTTTATGCTCCAACTATAACTTTAGTTATTAATTATTTATTTATATTTTAAATTTATTATTGATTTGCTGACATAGAGATTAGTATGAATCATTTTAAAAATTACATTAACTTCACACATATTAATTCTTTGTACATATGAAAAGTTGCATTAAACTCCAACGTATACACCCAATGCAAAGTTTTATATAATAAAGATTTTCACTAACTTCTCACATGTACAGTACATTCTTTGTAAATCTAAAAAGTTACTATAGGTATATATCCAATGCATAATGATTATCATTAGTATTGAGCCTCTCAATTAATAAATGCACAACCCCACATATTGAACACAAAAATATTCTAAATGTTAAAAGATAAAATGATTAAATAATATTAATTGATATGACTAAATTGATAAAGTAATATCTATTTTATTTGAGTTTTCCTATCTAAAACTTACTCCCTGTGGGAAATTTTTTTTATTTTTTGTCCCTACTTATAAGAGAAAAATCTAAATATTTAAGATTTTTAATATAATAAATAATATTATAATAATATCTATAATTTTAATTATTTAAAGATTAAACTTAACTTTAAAATATTATTACTAAGAAAACATAAAATAATTTGTTTTAGACCTTATACTTATTTAATAAAAGTGTTCTGGCCTAGGCCCCGGTCTGGCCACACGGGCCCAGCCCAATAGTGTTCCGCCAAGCCCAGCCCACCTTGGACCATAACGTCGGGCACATGTCCCCGACGAGCAGGATAGGTCTCCCCGCGGGAAGGTCCTACCCCAACCCCGTCGGGCAGAAGGATGCCCGTCGGCCAAATACTGCCCGGTCGGACAGAACCTTCTCCCTTCGCGGGCAGGACATGCTCCCTTGCCGGGCAGAACAACGTGTCCTTCACATGTTCTCCACGTGCTCCCCTCTGCGGGGACACGTCACCAACCAACTGCCCACCTCCGAAAGAGCAGGTCAAACCCACTTTCCGGAGATCACAGGACAGTTGACTAGGGAGAAGACCACATTCTAGTCTTCACTACGCCACGTAAGCCCTAGCAGTCACCTGAGTTGGGCTTGGCAATCCAGCCCAACACAAGTGACCGTTGGCCCAGCGCTGGGGTCTCTCTATAAATACCATCTTCCACAAGAGGGTCAGGTAATTCACTTCTTACCCCATTTCTGTACTTTGCTCTCACTCTGCCCAATTCCTTACTTTGGCATTAGAGTGTCTTGCAGGTACACCCCCTTTTCTCCTCCTCATCACCGGTGAACAGGTAGCAGTCCAACAGAGTGTGGCCAGCCCGTGATCCCTGTTGCGGTGGGAATCGTGATACAAAGCTATTGATTAACTTGAATCTAAATTCTTAAATTCACAATCGGACTTTAATTTATCCAAAGGAAAGGTCTAAAGAAAGAAAAACTCTTTTCGCGATGTAACAACAACGCTAAGAGATTCAGGGATCGGGGGTTGGTTATGCATAGGGTAGGTATTTCACATCCTAAACATCTGTAGTACTCTATAGGAACCTTTTGTTTGTTTGCATACTAAGTTTGTTAAATGTTTGCTATGGATTGGGATTGGGTAAAAGGTGTAGGTTAAGACCTAAAGATAATTTCTAAGTTTGCTCGCAAAGACATCGCGTCCTCTGCCTACGTATCCTAACTAGGATAGAATCAGAGCAACCGTAGTTCGCCTCACAAGGGTTGAAGAACACTTGATTATGATCAAGGTTCAAAGG